TGCGTGCAATTTGCAATTTCACCCCACTTCCTCAACATGTCATCCACAGTGTAATCTGTGAATATTTCCAAAGATTTCAGCCACTGTACCGCCCTAAAATGTATGATAGCCCTCAGATCTGTTGTTCCTCTCTGAGTTTCTGAGAATATCCTGGAGTTTCTTTCTTCCCATAGTGTCCAACATACTGCAGCCCTTAGTCCTCTCCACATTGTCCCCCTTTTTAACCGCCACCTGAAAAAGGAAGGTGAGAAAAGGCCCTGCATGTTTGATGGGGGATTCCAGCTGCATCCAAATAAGGAGAAAGCCCAATCCCACAATGACCTCGCGAAGTGACAAGACACCATTAGGTGAAAACCAGTCTCCCCATATATATATGCAAAATCAGATTTCAAATACAGTTGAAATTCACTGTCGGTAGTTTATGTTTCCATCATAGAGTGTACCCTATCATTCACTTTGTCCGGCAAAGGGGCCGATCGTATCACTATGATAACCCACTCAGGTGAATTCTCAGACTGCCCCAAGATACCCAGGTTTTGACCCTTGATGGATCTCATTGATTGGCATATCAAAGACAGCTCAATCCAACACCTAGTGCAGTACCATAATTAAGTCTGGGGTTGTGTAACTTTCTAGTTTTGCCCATCGATCTCCAAGGTCTAGGGCATAACTGGAAAATGGTCCGGGTTCAGTGTTTCAATCAAACACACACTGCGTTTACTTTGAATCTAATCCTAGCAGCTGAGACAAGTTGCCCCAATTTGTTTGGCAGTACATCAGTGTCGGCCTTAGTAGGATAAACTCCTCAAATCTATCCAATGGCTGAAAACATTCTAAACTAACATGAGTCTCATAAATGTCTAGTTTAAAGGGTAATTTCACAAAAACATACCAATATCAACATGAAACAATAATGTACTTTTATTCATTTACAATAAATGTATCTATGCATCAATCTAATTGGAGCTAAGGGCATGCACTGTCTAACAACTTCATCCTAAAGAGTGAAGACATGGTGGAACTTATTACTACTACAAGATAGTTGGACTTGTCTTTTCATGGATCCCACTTTCTTTAGCTTGTATAAAACAATAAATCACATAAACTTCTTGTTTTAAACCAATTTCTTTAACAAAGGAGCTTTTTAAACCACATTCTTTTAATGTTCATAATTCTTGTAGGTCGTACTAATCCGTGCCATTATTGATGTATGTGTTTCAATTATTTATCCCTTGGATAAATAATTTATATATGCATGTTATCAAGTCAACCAACCAATATGCTTCGACTGTAATTGATATATTTTGGTAAAAGACTAAGTGATTGTGTACTTTCTGAACAACATTGTTGAGAAGTTGGTGCATGATTCTATAGCATATCAAGCTGAGTGGTAGATGATTCCACTGGAAAATTCTGTTTTCCTTGTGATGGTGTTTACTCGGTCATCTTATGACATTGCAGATTAAGAGTGTAAGGCTTCCAATGAAGTTTGGGAATCATAGAGGTTTTGCATTTGTGGAGTATGTTACAAAGCAAGAAGCAGAGAATGCACTTCAAGCTCTCTCAAGCACCCACCTGTATGGTCGACATCTGGTAAGATCCTTTTTTTTTTTTAAACATGCTTTCCCTGCTAAGATCTTAAACAAAATCGAAGTTGTTGAAATTTCCTGTTTATTTCTTTCAGGTCTTAGAGCGAGCAAAGGAAGGTGAGAGCCTGGAAGAATTGCGGGTGCGAACTGCTGCTCAGTTCAGTGATGAGCAAAGTGGGTTTCTAAATCCCACAAAGTTGTCCAAGAAAAGAAAGCACATGGCTATCATTGATGAGGGAAGCTTCAAGTTTGGCAGGATCGCCGATTAGTGTATCCAACAATGTGTCAACTATATTTATTGATCAAAATGAGGAAACTGAATATTTTCTTGTATCATGAGGTAATTATATTCTAGTCTACATCCGGCTTCCCAATTTTTTCCGTGGTAAGCTTCAGAGCTTGTAATTGTTCAATGACCTGGCATGAAATTTAATGTGGTCCATTTATGATGTGGCTATCAGGATCATGTTTATCATCTCGGCCTGGGCTGCTTAGCTTAGGCCCATCCCATCCCATAATACACTGTTTAAATGTATTAGCAAATGTGCATGGTGCGCTGCATTGGCAATTTCAAATGATAATAACAATATTTTTTACGACACCGTGTTGCTTTCTGGGTTGATCCATTTGATCCATGTTTTTTTATAAAATTTTCATATTTTTTATAAGTCACTGTATTTTTGTTTTTTTTAATTTCTATTATTTAATTATGACATGTGTTGACCCAATAAACCTAAGGCTGTGTTGGTTTGAAAGAAAAGGTAGGGAAAGGCAGGAAACCTTAACGAATCTTGTATAGTGTAAGTTTCCCCAACTTTCCCTTCTTTTAAACCAAACACAGCCTAAATGCTTAAACCATTGGCCCAACACCTGAATGAAAAATTTGTTTTGTTTTTGGTCGATTTTAAATTTTGTATTTTATTCCCATCTTCATTGGTGGGAATGACTACTTTAAAATTTTATTAAGAAATCAATACAGAATATAGGACATACCCCACCTTGCCCCAAAACCAATAACATTTGCACACCCTCACACTTCAAACCCGAAAACCAAAAAGAGAACCAAAAATTTGCAATTTAACCGAACGTGGTAAAGAATAAAGATCAAAAATAGCGAGGCCTTCAATCTGTAGAGGATAGTGAATGAGTTTGCAACGCCATTTCCTTCCCAAAGAGTGTATGTGAACTTGATATCTGAAGAAGAATAACACTCCAAAATTATCATGTAGCCACTGTAGAATGGTCCAATGGGTCTAAGCCTTACCATTAAGGGCTTGTTTGATTTTAGGATTTTGGGAGGGGAGAAAGTTGGCCAATGGATTTTGATTCTCATTGACTAAGATACCCATGTTCATTTTTTAGATTTGTGGGTTCTTTGGTATCACTTACCAAGTGGGTAACTTTACCACTTGGGGGGAAAAGTTGTCAACATTTGGATGAGACAAAATTGTCTTCATTAATAATGGTTTTTTATGGCTAAAACGATCATTATCTTATTTGTCTGGGAAATAAAAGAACATGGCTAAATGCATTTACCCGGGTAAGTGTATTTACTGTAAATAACTTCCCAAAAATCACCTGTGAGTTACTCTCAAGAATCAAAGAAGAGAAACCCAGAGCACGAGCATAGTTCAATGCATCTAGGATCACTCGACATTCAGCCGTAAGGTTTGGTACCTTCACCATAGAAAGAAGCAAAGTAGAAAAAAAGGAATTTTGGCTCTAACAACCCCTGAACATTGCAAAACAACCACTTTCACCCTTTTATAATCCGAGGAGTCAAGTTAGACCACAGACTTCAAAGAAAAGGCCAACTGTAGGCAAAAACAGACGACATTTGTAATGATGTCATCTATGTCATTTGTGATCGATTAAAATAATGAAAAATAGTGACATGGCATGCCCATTCAGCGTCTGCCATCCTTGGTGGGTCCCATTCTCGACAATTTGTGAGTACACATCACCCCTTTTAAAATTAGGCTCAATTTTTAACCATTTTCAACCCTAAACTTTTCTAGCAAAAATTTTTTTGATTGTCTGCTACTCCAATCCAATCGTCTCTTCCGATCATCTTCTTCTCCTTTGTTCTCCTTTGTCTCTTCATCAGGTGCGAACATCACCTCACCTTCTGCCATTCTCCCAATCTCCTCCGTTCACATTCTCCTATATCTCTGTCAAGTGCCAACATCCTCCATTTCTCCGTTAAGCATCATATCCTTTGTCTCCCAACATCATCTCCCATTCTTCTGTCAATCACTAGCCAACAAAGAAAAGACGTGGGAACAGGAGGAGGTATGTATAAATGTGTATACAAAGGGTTTGATTGTGACTTTGTTTCTTCATCAATCAATTATTAGTTTTCTATTTTGTTATTTGTTTATTCTTTAATAGGAATCAATGTGGGCATAGATGTATCTGTGGAGTTGAAATGGTTTATTGGAGGAGGATTTGAGCAGACCAATGGCAAAATGTTGTATGTTCGGGGTAAGGTGAAGCTTATGCATAAGATATCCTATTGGACATTGTTAATCATGGTATAAGATTATGGATATTTGAAGAATGAGATGAGTAAAATTTTTTACAAGGTGCCTAATTTGGGTATTAGTGATGGGTTAAGGGAAGTGATTGATGATTCAACCACATTTGGGTTATTGAATTGTTCATCTGAGGGTGGTAGTCTTGACATGTATGTGGAATACACTAAGGGGGAAATCCATCATATGGATGGCCGAACCATGCAGGGTGGTTGGGCGAAATTTCAAAAAATTTCTTTTCTCCCTTTCGGGAATTGTATTCTCAGTTTTAGAAAAACTACATTTTTCAATGATCGTTCTTGAACCAAACCGGACCAGATCTAAAACCAAAAGAAAGGAAGAGAAATACCTGATACAAAATCCACATGTGTAGCTCCCAAAGTAGGTGTTTACACCCAAAGAGGGTACCAAAACCTACTTCCACTAAAGAAGGCACAGCTTGAGATGAAGCAGGTTCAGCAATACAGTCCTTCAACAAGAACTGCAATCCAATAGCTTGGATCGAGCAAGGGGGTATGAGCACGAAATTTGATTTGATTTTCTTGCAAAATCAGAGGTAGGAATTGATCTCTAACAGCCCAAAAGCTGGAGATCGAATTAGGGTTTGGGCGGCAAGAACAAAGGCAGAGAACTCAGAGCAGAAAGGTGAAATCTGGAGCAGTTTGCCCTCCTCTATTTTTAGGCCTTAAAGATCAGCTTCTCCTAATCCAATTAAGAGCTTCTTAATCCAAATCTTTATTTGGATCTAGACTCCTTAAGTGGATAAGAGTTATCCTCTTATCTCATTACTAATCTAAGCTCATATCCATACCCAAATTCGCCCAAGTCACCTGACTGCTTCATGTGACTTCTTAACTAATCCAATTAATTATGGGCCTTAGGCCCATTAAGCAAGTAGGCTCACGTCCCCTTTTAATTGATGGATAACTTGGCTCTCTTTGTATGGTGTGGGACCCTAACATTGATCTCACAAAAGCCATATGGGTTCAGCTTAGCTTTTGTGACAAAGCCTGGTCGAATTTATTGCTAAACATAGTGAACCCCTGAGTCCATCAGTACGGGCTCTTAATGGGTCCAACATTTACACTAAATGGACCTTGAGTCCAGCCATCTTATGAAGGCCCAAGGACTATGGTTTTAAGTGAGATTAGCCCATTAGGTATAATAGCCCTAAATAGTCTTATACTTAGCATCTCGGCCCTTAATGATCAAACACTGCCCAATAAGAAATGACATCTCCCTCGGCTACAAGGTACAGTGTTGCACTCTCTGCTCGGATGGATCCCGGGAATTAAAACCTTTTGCAAATCTTTTTCATAAAACATAATATATATATATATATATAAATATATATATATATATAAATATATATATATAGATTCATATAAATATATTTTGCAAAACAGATCTCAATCACGGTTGAAATCAATCGTCGGTAGTTTTTGGTTTCCATTAGAGAGAGTGCAGTTCTGATCATTCACTTTGCCCGACAAAGGGGCTGATCCTATCACTATGATCACCTGTAATACCATAATCAAGTCTAGGGGTTAGGTGTAACTTTCCAGTTTTGCCCACTAATCTCAAAGGTCTAGGGCATAACTAGAAAATGGTCTGGGTTCAATGTTTCAAACAAACACACACTACATGTGCTTCGGGTCTCACCCTGGCAGTTGAGTCAAGCCACCCCAACCAACTTGGCAGCACATTCGTGTCAGCTTTGGCAGGATAAACCTCCCCAGGTCTATCCAACGGCCGAGAACATTCTAAACTAACACGAGTCACATAAGTGTCCAGTTTAAGGGTAATTACATAGAAATACACCAAGTACAACATGCATCAATTATGTACTTTTATTCATTTATAATAAATATTTAATGTACATCAATCTGGTTAAAGCTAAGGGCATACACTATCTAACACACACTGTGTCAAACCCAACATATAATGCAACAAGGTGCATTGCAAAAGAATTATGTGGGAAGGGGGACCCAAAAGAGATCAAATTGGTTGTGGATTTGAATAAGCATGCACAGGAGTTTGAATATTGCAGGGATAATGATATCCAACATAATGTTGGTGACATTTGGTTGACTGAGGATGTAACTTGCAAAATTTTGCAAGGTGATTTAGAGGATATATGTGCTTGTGTCACACAAGCCAACCCCATTGAAAGGGTGGGGGGGGAGGCTAGGGTTCACACTAAAGGAGGGAGTCGAGAGAAAAAACCTACTAGAGTGACTAAGGAGGGAGAGCCTAAGGAGGAAAGTGATGGGCAGTTAGATAATGAGGATCGTGCATCTAAGGAAGAGATTGTAGATGTAGATATTGAGTGGTTAGCATACAATGATGATGAAGATCTTCAATCGGTAAGACAAAGAGTGAAGGAGACAATTAGGAGAAAAAAAAGGTTGGTGTTAATGTAACGGATGTATCAGAGAGAGAGAGGATCCAATAGTAATTCGACTAGGATTGAGGAAGCAAGAATCCAACAGCCTATATCTCCAAAATGTGAGGAGGGAGGAAAGGGAGGAGAGGGAGGTGAGGAAGGAGGGAACTAACAGTCGGGTTTTACTAAGTATGGTTTTGATGATGATGGAAGCTATCATATGGTTAGTGGTGGGTCATACAATGAAGTAGAAGCAAATCACTTTAGGAGGAAACGAAAAACCTGTTTTGTGTATGACCCTAGTATTGAGGTTCCCCACTTTGAGTTGGGAATGATTTTTGTCAATACCAAGCAATGCATGGGGGTAGGTAGTTATAAAGCAAGCTATCAGGAATCGTAGCGACATTAGATTCAAGAAGTGTGAGACCCAAAGGATTAGGGCTACATACAAGGATGAAATTTTCCTATGGATATTTCATGCTTCAATTGAAAAAAGTGAATGGATGAGAGATCCATCGTATGGACGCCCAAATCTTGCAGAATAAA